CTTCGTCCCCCCCCCCCCCCCCCCCCCCTTAAGACCCCCTTAAGGGGGTGACCCTTAAGCCCCCCCTTGAAGCCCCCCTTAAGCCCCCCTTGAAGCCCCCCTTAAGCCCCCCCTTCGTCGAAGGTCCGGGGCCCAGCCCCGGGTAAGCCACCCAATCTTCCCGAGACAAGACCTAAACCTCCCAGCAGCCTCTGGCATGAGGGTTTTCGATGGAGACTCTGGGTCTTCCCGCATCGTACAAGGCTTTAATGTCCGGGGTTGTGGAGGTAGGCTTTACCTTCTCCAGGTCCTTGTCCGTCTACCCGAACGCAGAAAAAACAGAGCGGACGTACTCAGGTTTCACTCCAAGAGCTACGTTACTCCCATCGAGCCTTATCAGGCGTCCTAAAAACTCCAGCTGCCCATCTTCGTGCAATCTCCCTGTCACCTTGACTTTAAGGACTGCGCTCAGGGATTTGTGGATAAACTCAAACCCCTCTTGGCTGTCTGAGACAATCAAAAGATCGTCTACATAAGCTACGGCGATGATATACGTCCACTTCTTGCCGAGCTGGACCCAACCGCTAAAGAGCGCAGGCTCGAGAGGAGAGGGCTTAAGGCTTAAGGCCGAGGCCAATCATGATCTTGCTGAGGCGCCGCTGCCAACTCAGGCTGGCGCTTCTAAGGCCATACAAGGCTTTCTCCAGGATGAGAAACGCGGGCTCTCCGTTTTCCAGGGAGAAGGTGTTCGGCAACTCGACTACGGTAGGCTGAACCACGTTGGTGAACAAGAACGCCGTGCTTATGTCCAGCCCCCATATTCTCATGCGGCCTTTCGCTGACCTATTGGTTGTCTGTCTCGTGTGTCTCTGCAATTTGTCGGCATTCCCCGCTCTGATCTCCTCTGGGATTTCAGGTGGCCGGCGGGCCTTGTTGCCGCTTGACACATTGCACGCTTACTTTTGCATGTCATGCTATCTTACTATGCTTTGCTGTGCCGCTATGTGCCATTATACTTTACGGGAAGCGGGGCGATGTGTTTGCCATTGCGCGGCTTTGAAATCTGGGAAGCGGAGCATCTGAGGGAGGACGATGTTGTTTTGAGCCGGGTAATTAATTGCTGAACGACTCTTGCCGGCTTAGCCTGTTGGTCGCAGCACGTTTCACCGATTTTTAGTTGTCTATTTAGCTTCTTGTTGCTTCTTGTTGACGATTCCATTAGGACCGAGTGCGGCAACCCCCGTCAACGAGGCTGCTGTGGAGGACATGCAGCCGGACGAAGTCGTGTACAGTCTTTTCATGGAAGGAGGTGAACATTGACAGCATCCTTAGATGCCTCCAAAGGCTCGCGGCAGGCCTCGTTTCCCAACAGTCTGCCAGCTCCAAACGCCGCCAACCAGAATGTTGCTACGCGGTTTGAGCTGGCAAGAGGTTGGTATGCAAGACACGTACGGTCACTTGAAAGATTACTTTTGAAAAGTCTTTCGTCAGCTTTGCCCTGGCAGTTGAAATGGTGGACGTGTGCTTGAAAAGAAGCTGGAGACACTGTCTAGCTTGGTTTGAGAAGGATGACGATCTCTGGTGGGGTCAAAAGGCCACGGTAGAAGAGAGAGTTGTCAGAGTTCGCTTGCAGGTGGTCAGACTTCGTCGCTTGAGGTTTTTTGCTTGAAGTGCCAAAAACAGGAAAGAACGGTTGCTGGCCCATTGCGACGTCTAGAACCTGCCTCCAGCGAAAAACCAAGTCTAAAAAGTTGCGGCAATGTCCGAAACAAAAGTTAAAACAGTGAAAAGAAAGGTAATAAGTTTGCCTGCAACTTTGCCATGTCCATCCAACAACTTCCAATTGGCTTTTTCACCAACTGTTTGCATGGCCGCGTTCTGGTCTGGTTACTTGTTGTCCGATGAACTGAAAAACAACGATCTTGGAAAGAAGTGACTTTGCCTCATTCTTATGTTTCGTGAATTTTTGTCGGTCAACAGACGCCTTGCCGAAGAGTTCCGTTGCTTTTGAAGCAATGAAGACCAGTTGCATTTCAGATAACTGAAGCGTTTGATTCCGTTGTGCTTGTAATGCAGTAATGCGTCTATTACGAGACTTTTGCTGCATCAGCCTGATGCATGTCAGATTTCGCAGCAACTTGCCAAACGTTATTGTTTGCAAAGCGAAAATTTGGGGGCGTTACTTTTGTTTCCGCAATCAGATGATGTCGCAATTTTGTCTCAATCACTGCAAGCAGCAGCTGCTCAAAGTAAAGACATGTTCGGGCAGCCCTTGCAACATGGCAAAGCAGTTTTTGAAAGTGCGTTGCTTCGACCGCATCCATTGAATGCTTGGTCTGAGCTGTGCATTGGCCGTAAAGTGACCAGTTGGCTGCCTGTCGTTTGGGACACCACTTGGCTGAACAACAAAACCGAACGATCGACCTTGAACTACTCGCGAACTTGATGACATCAATTGAATTTTTCACAAAACCCAGACGTGTGAGCCTTGGATGGCGACGGCCTACATGACACTTAATTCTTTCAGAACCAGCTGCTTCCTGCTGGCATGGTGCAGCATCCAAACATCATGTTGCAGCCATTGGCTGTCGATTGAGAGGTCAAGCTGCAAACAAGCGCTCTTTGCATGACTGTCTTCGTAACCATTGAAGCTTGCACAACACGTCATATGGTTTGCAGAAACTTGGGCCCGCATTGGCCACCTGCTATGTAGCCGTGATTGTCGCTATACATCATGGCTTTCAACACGGGATTTCCTGTCAGGTCCCAGTCTTCCATTCTCTGGTGTCAGTTGATGCATAACCCAGTAGGTTCCTCGATTGGGTAGTTGGATGCCAGCCTTGCAGGGTGGATGCTCGGGACAACATTGACCAGATGTCGCCCGTGTCTTAGTTCGTTAGAGCATAAGCATGTCCGAAGCCCTGCAGCGAGATCAGCATTGCGCGTTTGCAGAGGCAACCGTTGCGGGCCACTACTTCGAGGTCAAGCACGCGCAACTTGATAGGTATTTTTGGTGCCTTCGATCCGCGGTTAGTTTTGTTGACGTGAATGATTTCACTGGTTCAAACGCAGAGAAGAATGAAGGCATCAAGCATGCTAAGACTTTGGGTCAGATGTTCGCATGATATCCCGAGATGTCTGGGAGCTAGTGCATTCAACGGCTTTTTTATGGCTTGAATCAAAGATGCACCTTTAACATGGGCTCATGGTCTCGTTCCTGTACTTCCTGCTGCATATCCTTCTCTGGAGTCCCTGGGACAGCACTACTCGGAGAGCCTTTCGTCAACTTGTTTCTTCTGGGCCATTGTCATGTCGGCATGAGGACTTCGCGCAAGCCCACACGAGGTCCCCGAGATTATACTCCACGTTTTGCTCCGTCACGAGTCGAGCTGTAGCCAGTCGACATGTCTCGAACCAAGGCGTCATGCTGTCACCCGTTCTCCTCTCAAGAAGAGGTCATGTGTGCGTTGTTTCTCAATTTCTCATCCCAGCAGGATTTCCAAGCACGCGTCGTCGTGCAGAAGGTTTCCCAGGCATACGGCAGCTCGGAGCACCATGAGAGGACCCTTTCATCCCATGTTGCATGGTGATGCCTGTTTCTGGCTGCTGGCAGGAGGCTTCAAGATGCTGCCACATGTGAGGAGGTTCACACAGCTCCTCGTTACAGAAATCTTGAAAATTTCCGCCAGCAGTTGCCAACAGCATGCTCGAGGCTGGCACTTGGGGCCCGATGAGGTCCCGTCCTTGAGGGGCTTGCACTTGCCATGCCAAAAGCGCAGCGACTTGCCCAACGGCTGGCTTTGGCAACCCAGGATCGGATATGAGATGGTCGACATCGATTCAGTTCCATCCGATCTGGTGGATTTGGTAAACCAGACCGTGATGGCAACTCGACAAGCAGCACAGTCCGTGTGTGTTTTGATCTGCTTCGCTCTTCCTTTTAAGGCACGAGCTGTGGCTTACTGGTCTTCGGTGCTGCAGGTTCGTCAGGCCGTTTTCTGTTTCCCGCCTTCGATGCTTCGGGCACCGAAATCACTCACCGAATCCCAAAGTACAGGCCCAGAGCCCTCTCAAGATGGACCGCATCGGCACCGGCTGCTTCAAATATGCTGCCTGCCATCGAACAGCTGAAGGGTTCGTTGTTTTTGCTCATAGTTTCAGGTTAGGGATTGTGAAGACGGGATGATTGTGTCGGCAAAGATTCCGGAAAAATGCTAAGGGCTTCGACACGGACTGGCGCTGCAGCGGTATGCGAAGTCCAACTTGCGGTTTAATGACCATTCCAGACAAGTACCTGCGAAGCAAGCGAGCCTGCCAAGAAGTATGCGAGCCTTGGATGCCACATCTCTTGAGCTGCAGACAGTAACAGATAGTAGGGTGCAAGCAAGCCCCCCCAGTGCACCGAGGGACCGCGCTGCACTGGAAGCTGTGTGCAAGGACCCCGTCTCGTTTGTTCCTTCCGTGGGAAGAAAAACGGGCTGGGCTGGGCTGGGCAGGGCACTGTGGCCGTCGAACTACCCGTGATCTTGTAGGAGGCAGCTGTGCTTGTGACGTCGACGAATGGCTGGTGCAACAAGACAATTACTGCTGCTACTTGACACCACAAGCTGGATGTCCAAGCGACTGCTCGCTCGCGAACGCGACACAGGTGAGCAACGGCGCTTCTGGTGGCTTGGTTTGTGAGGGGGCTTGTGTTGATGCACCAGAAGGTGAAGGAGCCGCGGCTGAAGATCTCCACGTATTTGTGAAGATTGAAGATTCAGCGGAGTGCCAAAGTTCGGCTACTCTGCTGGCTTATGCCATTTCCTGCGGTGTTGACCAGTGTGACCGTCCTGTGTTTGGGTTTATCAACTTCTGCCCATCACAGCTGTCCACATCGCCCGATGACCTGAGCGGAATGATTTCCACTGCCGTGCATGAGTTGGCTCATGTGCTCGTCTTCAGCAATGAGCACTTCCGCAACTTCCGCAATGCCGATGGAACCCCAATGATTCCCAGGGAAGCTGAAGATCCAAGGCTATACCAAGACGAGGTTCGATATTCGTGCAGTGCGGACTCCTACCTCTGGAATGATACAAGCGGCGGCCGCAGGCAGGACTCCACGGTTTTCTGTGTTGTAGTGGCTCTGGAGACGGGTTGTTGGAATGATCGGGGAAGATGTGGAGGAAAGCTTGTTAAACTTCTTGCCAGAATCCCAAACGAAACCGCAGCCACACATGGGTGCCCAAGCTGAAGCAAGCTTGGATGAGCTGGTGGCAAAACTTTAACATCTGGATATGCAGCGATTTGTCGACCAGAGCGGCAAAGGCGAGGTTGGTTGAAGGCTTTGAATGACAAGCTACGCTCCTGTCGAAACCAGTGTTGCGTGTGAGGCCTTGTGTTTCGAATAACGAGTGTCATCGGCAGAAAATCTTGTGGTGATTGATTTGATTTGGAGAAGGTACGTGGATCTTAGTCCCGATATCCTTGACACATTCGACGAGCGGGGCTACAGCTGCCAGTGCCCGATCGGCACGCCAAGCCTCAATCCAGGACAGAGCCGCATGAGTCATGAGCCGCTCACTCTTCTAGCACCCACCTGAGCAACTGTTGCCTTCTGTAGGTAAAATGCATTGATGTCTTGTGTGGAGTTGTCGATCTCTTAGTCAGGATGCTTCTACCCTGCTGGTGCACCGTATCTGCAGATGCCAAGCTGCGTGGTGCGACTGAAGACACCGACTGTGCTCCGCGAGGCACTTCAGTTCCAGTAGGTGTTCGAGTCTCGTACCAATCGCAGCCACTTTTTTCTTGCACATCGGCTACGCGATCGCAACATCCTGGCAGGGGGGGGGGGCATGAGCGAGTCCGGCAGCACGTCCATACGGCTCCCTTTAACGGTTTTTTCAGCTTCGCTAAACCCACACGGCCCAGACGGAAGTTTTCAGGGCCGAGCGATTCGATGCTCGTGTGGAATCTTAAAGTCTTTGCGAGTTTACGCCCGCCTAGACTGACCCTTGAGCGTTGTCCTCGAGAAAGGCAGGTTTTCGACATGATGGCCACAATTCCGTCACACGTGCCTGCGAGTTGCAAGTCGCACGGTGTGACCTTGTCCGAGCTTCGCCTTCAGGTCAGGGACTTCTTTGATTGTCCGACACTCGCTGGTGCAGAGCTGGAGAACCAAGAAGGTCGGTTTGGGGGGGGGGGGGGGGGCGGTTCCCTTTCCGGGCTGATGGTCCTGTGCATCTGCTGTGCGTCTGTGGCTATGGCAGGCAGCGGTTGCAACATCATTAACAGTCACTGGGAGCAGAGGGTTTTCACTTCCGAGCTGATGGCGCCCGCGTCTTCGGAGCACTTGATTGACACCTACGTTTCCCGAGTCAGCCTCTCCTCTGAAACAAAGCGCAGAGACGACCATTGCCAGTTCTGGCGGGGAAGTGCTTCAGAATTTGGCGATCGTCGGGGTAGTTGTCGTTGTCGGACACGCTAGAGCCTCATCGTCAACACCCGTCACCTCCCCCAACACCGGGATCCACATGGTGGGGCCACCGCAGAGCCTGAGAACATCAAAGCGACGCAGGCTGTGATGCTAGAACGATCTGTGCGTTTCTCTTGAATCTTTGTTGACAGTCCACCCCGAGCCAATGCTCAAGTGCTCACGCACAGGGAGAGGTCACTAAAGACTGCCTTCCTTTCCGGACGCGGTGTCTCCGATCCGAGAGTGATTAGGTGGATTAGGTTTTTATCGGCCTAGACTTCCAGACTCCAGCTTTGCATAGGCTGCCTTCCAGCCTCCAGCGCCTGAAGCTGCCTTGTTTTGTCTGATGTCTGACAAGCTCCTTGCGGCTGAGGCTTAGCCGTGTTCCAAGACTCTGGCTGGTACAATGCTAACCTCTCCGCTGCTGATCCCCTGGTTCCCGGCGTCCACTGGGGCTACAAGCAGGGCTGCAATTTTGCAACGGCAAAGTGTGTTGATGGAGGGACACCCGTTTCCAATCTCTTATTTCGTATCGCTTGTCATCTGATTCAGCATTCATGCCCCTGCAAAGTCTGTCTCGTTTTTCTGTAATGGCACCAAGGTTTCCTCTCACTTTTGCAGCAGTTCCGCAGATGTATCGTGTTCGTTGGACAGGAAATCCGTTCTGGGTTGCGACATTCTGCTTCTGGATTCAGTTCCGCCAGTATACCAGTACACGCCTGACAACGGCCTGGGCCGTTTGGCCGCAGCTGATTACTGCCCGCACTATGCCGTGCGTTACGTGAATCGAGACTTGGCAGAGCTTAGCAGTTTCGCTCCGCCGCTGCCGTCCTTTGATCCATGTAAGACCGGGAATCCTCCCTGCACTCGCTGGCTACGATGTGTAGCTTCGTATTGATGCACGAGGTGTCTGCGCCAGCAATGAATCAGTCACCGTGCCATACGGAAATGTCAACTTCATGAAGGAAGTCTTCTCGGCGGAAAGCCGGTGCTTCATGAGCACACTACACCAGGATGTTCCAGCTGACGACGGAGGCTTGTGGGCAGTGACAGTCCGCCTCGTAGCGATAGCAGGTGTAGCATGTGCTGCAGGGACCTTCGTGGCGTCGCCAGATGATTTTGTCAACGAGAGGCGTGCGCTACCGCTCATGCTAGCGCTTGTGCCAGCCTTGAGCTTGAGCTTGTCGTCCCTCTTGTATCTCTTGTGGAGGCCGGTCTGCTACAAAGTGGCCTGTGCCGACGGAGGGCAAAGTTATCAGCTCCAGGTCTCGGGAGCAAGGCATCCCCAAGAGCCCTCAAGAGCCCTCAATGCTCCGGCAGGTGGCTGACCAGACAGACCCGACAGCCTTTCTGTCGGTTGGAAGCTGCACGAGCGAAGGTCAGAAGCTGCTCCTTGGTCGAAGTCACTGTGCCTGCACGTGGTGCTCCATGCTGCGCAATTCGCAAGGACACTGGCCGGTGCAGGCAGGGTGCTCCCGGATCCATAGCTTGATGTTCCTTTCATGCCCCCTGCATCACGAAGGTGGCACAATCACTTGCGCATCACCGGCTCAAGCCACCCGGCTTGTTTCTGGAGGGCGACTCTATGCGGCTCTAAACCGCTCGCGGACCGTTGCAAGGTTTGCAGTGATTTGTCGTCGCGACATGTTCTCGGAGATGAGTGGAAGCATGCGCCGGCACAAGGAGAAGCTTCTTGACGCTGTTGCAGTGAGTTGTAAGACAGATCTAGCCACTGTCAGAAACCAGCACTACGGCGACAAGCACTACTCGTAGCACAAGCCTTGGTGCACTGCAGTGGGGTTTCATGTCATCGTGCAATAGTGAGCTCAGTTCTTGTACAACGCTCCGTGCTGAGGCACTGCAACCGTGACGAGCACGACGGCTTCCACCACCACACACTCAGGCTGAAATCCAAGAAGCCTGGTTGTTTAGTGCTCATAGCAGTGCAGAGGTGCGACTCGTACTTCGACGTCCACGATAAAGGGCAGGGATGCCAAGATGAGGGGAATGCCCATGGTTGAGCCACGAAGCTGGATGGGCATCACTCGCCTCACGACAGGCACCTCCTCCAAGATTGCGGGAACGATCCTGGGCGACGAATACAGCAGTCGTACCATGTTGCTGACTTGTGAGCTTGCTTTCCCGAGCTCAAGGATCACCACAACCGGCTCTACACTTACATCAACTTCTGTGGCCACACTCCGAGATTGTCATGCAAGAAGACCCAACCATCAGCCCTTTCTGCCGCTCCCATGTGAGGCCTTCGATTCGGACGAATTACCAGTAGCTGCGGCCGGGCGCCCCGCCGGAATGATGGCAGCTGTGCTGATCACATCAGCTCTGTGCATGTAAAGAGGCTCGAAACGTGCCTTCACTCTCGAGAATTCGAAGTGGATGCACGTTTGTCAGGTTGGCCCGTAAGCACACATGCCCGTGCCGGGTCTCTTTCAGGGGCTGACGGCTGGCAAGCTTCTGAGAAGCTGGGCCGTCGGGGAGGGCAGTTCTCGCGTGGGATAGAAAGATGAAAGAAGGCAAGTCTTGCCGCCTTGCCTTGATGAGTTTCGGCGTCCAGAGTCCAGAGGGTGCGGAGAGTGGCCAGGCCCGGGACCGGCACCCTTCTGAACGACGCGACTTTCTCCAGGCCTGCCGGGCGTCGATGGTGGTGCGGGGCTCTGCGTCCTCCGTGCAGGTTTTCCCAGGTCAAGGGGTACCACGAAGAGGCAGAGACCCTTTGGAAGTCCCCGTGGAGCCCTATAGATGCCATGACTTTCCATCCTAGGCGGTGGGATATCCGATGCAGCCGGAGGCGGAGCTCTGGGTCAGCTTTCTAGGCGGTCCGAGCCTCCAGCAGTGCACAGGGTTCAACCAACTTCTTGAAGGAGGTGGGAAGCAAGTCACCGCGAGGGGTGGCAAAAGTGATGGTTTTCTCTTGGTGTAGGTCCTGCGTCAGCTGGACGAAGACAAATCTCAACGCGAACAAGACATGGAGAAGCTGAAGGCTGAGGTGTACTCGCAACAGGCGCTGCTTCTAGTCGTGCTTGTCGGAAAGGACGCATAGATGAACCTGCTTGCATGACACCCTGCCGGCCCTTCTCAAGTAGGGCACACAGCCTCATAGAGTTGATTCGTGGTCCAGCAGATGTGAAACAACGTAGTTCTTTCTTTCCACGATGGGAGGGTGAGTAAGTCGAGTAAGTATACGATGGCAAAGGGCAAAATTGGTCTGGCATGCTGACCATTCATCCGTGTGCTTTAAGCCTTTGAGCCGACGCTGATGAGCTCCATGTCCGGAGAGGATCCCACGAACGGATTGGCAAGAGGCACTCGAAGTTCGAAGTAGATTGGTTCTGGTTACTTTCCGTTGAAGTTGTCTGCCTAGCTTCGATCCCCGTGCTAGGCGCTCCTACAACCTCGCTGCAGGCGTTGGCGGCAGCGCCGGCGCTTTGGCCGCACCCGATCGCTGAGCACCGAAAGCCCTATGAGACTCTGAGGTGCTTGGGCTTGGGGCTACCGAGCCCAAAGAGCCCGATGACGGCAATTTGGGGGAGCTCCTGAAGAGCCAGCTCGTAGAGCCGGAGCCTCGAAGCCCATTCCTTGGGCGCTTCGCTTTTGGACAGCTTTTGGCTGCGAGGCTGGGTAACTTCGTGGGTGGCCTGAAGCTGCGCAAGGAGGCCCCGCCAGCTCCAGGCGCAGGGTGCAGCCATGTGCAGCCTCACAGCTTTGCCTCAGATGTGGATTGCTGGACTCCAGAGTGGGCCACACAAAGGGTTCCCTCGCCCTCGCGGGACGCGGCGCGCCTTGGCGCCCGAATGCGCGAACGACGAGGCCAGAGAGCCCCTTTCTTGCGTGAAGTTTGCGTGACTTGAGGCTGCGGTCCCTGGACGCGAGCCTCTCTGATCTCCTCCCAGACCCTCGGCTGTTGCCTGTGCCGCCTGTAGCTGCGGGCCGCATGGCCATCAGCTGGCCTTTCCCTGAGGCCCTGAAGCCAAGGGATCTACAAAGTGCCAGCCCCATGAGCTCGAAGAGCCATGCGACGAGCTTCCACAGCCCAAGCTCAGGTGGGGCCCCTAAGTTATGCCAAGTTATGCCGTTACATCGTTACGCCTTGGCACTTGCCGTACTTGCCTCGCAGAGGCCTGGCCTACGAGCTGGAAGTGCTGCGGCTGCAGATCGCGGCCTTGGCCCAGTCGCTAGCAGGCGTGACTCGAAGTCCGAAGTGGACCTTTTTGGCTCAAGTCTCTCCTCTATCTCTCCCTCTCTCTCTCTCCCTCTCTCTCGCTCTCATAAAATCAATTGCTTGAAGGTCTTGGGGCGTGCGTGATGAACTGGTCCGCTGGGCTGGTGAGCTCTCACCGGCAAGAGCTGGCGGACATGGTGCTGCGCTACACTCTTCCGTGCGAGCATCTCAGCAAAGAGCTGAAGGACGCCAAGACGGAAGCTGCATGTCAGCGTGCCGTGTGCATCCCCGTCCCCGTGCTGCAAGTTTCATGTAAGCTTGTCATGTAGCGGTCACGTGGCATGCTTTGGCTTGATGGAAGCACTGCAACTCTTGGCATACCTGCGTTGTTTGTAGACAGCAGGTCAGCTGTGGACGCACCTTCGGCTCTCCTTCATACGACAGAGCTCACAGGGAGCACACCTGCGCAATCCAGAACGGCAGTCGCGACAGACATAATGGCAGAAAACCGGGGGGCAGAGAGCCAGCAAGGCAGGCAGCAAAAGTGCGTCAGCAGCGCTCGATCCAACTGCCCATCTGCGGCCGCAACCGGGTAGACAAGCTTCCACGATTCCAGTGCTTGCAGCCCGCATAGCCCGTCAGACAGGAGCTGTGCCGGGACCTGCAGTCGGAGTTGCTTCCACACGAGCCTTCGTCCGCCTACCAGGACGGTGACGGAGTCTTCATGATGTGAACTGCCACCTTTTCTGTTGCAGATTGCAGACAAGGGCGTGGCTTCAGATACTTGGCATGTCGAGGATTCCGGAAAGGCGGTCGAGAAGCCACTTACCTTGGGTGCCCTTCAAGAAATGCTCCTACACCAAAGAAGACAGGCTGGGTGGGGCGGGATGGGCCTCTCTTTGTCCCGGGTTCTTGCACGACCCTGTTTCCGGTCAGGCGCGGCGGACGGATGAGGTCCGTCACGACGCGTCCCTTGTCGCCACATCTCGCCAACATCTCAAGGGATCGATGGCATGCCACCGAGGACGTCATCTGCCATTCCAGACGAAGCCCTGGAGCTGGAGCGGATTCGCTGGAGCATGGAGCGTGAGGCAGCCCGTATGGAGGCAAGGGCATGCCGTGGTTTCACAAAGGATCCGACGGGCCGCATCTCTGTACTGTCAGGACTGGGAGCGGGACCACAGAAGAGGCATCACTGTCGGCGAGCATCCCAAGGACGCTTTCAAGCAACAGTTCTGAACTAACAGAGGTGGCCTGAACAAGACGGTTCTGCTTTTATTGTCGCGTATACACTGGCCTAAGGACAGCCAGCAGCTGCAGTCTCAGACAAGTAGCACATGCTTGGAGTATGGGGTGGGATCTAGACTCGCACAGAGCAGCCCTGTTTGTGCGGACCGCCCTTGGCTGCCGAGGACCTCTGTACATAGTCTGAGTGGCCCTGCCGCAGCTTCCTTCAACTGGGCGGAAACCTCTGGTGGAAGGATCGTGTTCTGACGCGTGAGAAAATCGGAGCAGGTCTGCCTGCAAGACCTTGGAGTTGGGGCATTGAGGCGTTGTTTTGCAGAGCCGTAGCAGTGCGGCTCCGCCCCGTGTAGAGGCCATCCTGAAAGATCTGGCGCAGACTCTTCTGGGTGGCACGTTGGAAGAGGCTGAGCAGCCCGTGCAGAGAGAGCTCGGGCAGAATGGGTTGTTCTGGTAGGCCTTGGGGAAGATTCGCAGCTGGCCCCAGTTGCGCCCGCCTTCGGGCCATGCCAGAGCACTCCACTGAAGGTGAAGACGTTTCCTCGCACAAGGAGCAGCTGGTGCCGTGGCTGAGACCCGCAGCGGAAAGCAGCGCCTCAGCCCTCAGAGCAGCCAAGGACCTCCAGGCCAGAGCCCTCCGAGAGGGCCTCTTGGACTTGGCCGGCCTCAAGGCCACGGAGGGAGTGCACTCCGCTTCTTCGTCTCCGCTCTCCTCTTTCTCTTTCGGCCCCTCCGCTTCTTCGGCTCCTCTTCGTCTCCGCAAGGCTGGGGGCCCGAGGCAGGAGGAGCAGACGCGGAGGCTGCTTGGCGAGCTGCCGGGTGCCCCGAAGCACCGGCCTTGGCGGCGACCAAGCGGCGCCCTCTCTCAGGCGTGAGGAGATCTCCATGCAGATTCAGGGTGCCAAGGCCCGTGGGCTCAGAAGCCGCCTCACCGAGCACGGCCTGCACCTGTGAACCAACGAGGCCTCCTGCGAGACAGTGGCACAGGAGTTCGCTGCAAGAGCTGCAGAGGACCGCTTTCAGCTGAAACCGGAGGCCTGGTCCGTGGTCCGTCCTCGTGCAATTGACGATGTCGCACAGGACTGTGTAGCCTCGAAGCAGCATGCCGAAGCGCTTTGCGACCAGCATCTTGGATGGCAAAGATGGTCCGCACCGACGCGACGTGGACTCGAGTTGTTTGGCAGGTTCAGGCAGCAGGTGGAGAGGTCGCAGGACAGGGGCGGGAGAAGCAAAGGGGGCGATCCTTGTTTGGAGATTTCCATCTTAGCTCGGCGGCCCGGGCTGCCGTGCTGCTTTGTTTCGTTTTAGTGGTTGCGGTTGTTGCATCAGGACGGTGGTCTCACTCTTGGTTTATGCGCAGGTCCGTTACTGCCTTGTTTGCAGGAGGCTGAGGTCAAGAAGCTGGAGCAGCTGGTGCAGGCGACGCACTAGGAGGGAAGCGAGCAATCGCCAAATCATGTCCTTGTGTGTACTTAGTCCTTGCCATCAGCATCGACGCCGCAGGCCGCGCAGAGACAGGTCGACGTTCTCGATGCGCGGCTTCAGCAGCAGCAGCGCTCCGAGTCGGAGCATTTCGGAGCAATTTTCAGCTCGCTGCAGAGCTGAGGCCCAGCCCTGCAGAAGCGCTGCAAGCGCAGCAGCTCGCAGTTTGCAAGCTCAGCTTTTCGAGGAAACAGGGGCTCACATCATGAGCCATTGGCGACTCAAGCCATGTCAAAGGAACTGCAGGGGTTCGCATCTTGCATGACTCAGACCATGATCGAGGAATCGAGGGTGAGTTCTTGCGAAGCCAGCATTGAACTGGTCGAATCGATGTGACTCGCGGTGGGCAAGTTGCGAAGATACTCGTAACTTCTGGGTCCCCTGCATCTTTATTGCGAGCGAGGCGCAGCATGCTGCTTTGGCTGACAGCCTCGCAGGTGGGTGATTTGAGGGCTCTTTGATGTTTGGTTGTGGTGATGGGATTTGAGGGCCCCTAGTTTTCTCTCGACATGCAAAGGTGAGGTCCGGACTGCTGCTTCGGCCTTGGCGAAGCTACGGAGTGGCACACTGATCAGCCGATGCGGACCAGCCCCTCCCAGCCTGAGGTCCTTCGGGCACAGGAGTCGGCCGCTTCAGCTGCTTCGCATGCCTGGATCTCTTTGCCCGCAATTCCTTCTCAGGGTCAGGGGATGCATTCCACGGCAAAACCTTGCTGCGACCCTAGGCGACATCTGCAGAAAGCCAGGCAGCCATCGCCCAGGGTGCTGTAGAAGCTGTGGCCACAGCAGCATCTCGGCTTGCAACAGGGTTTGGAAGCTCCCCATGTTTACATGCTTTCGGAAACACGGATGAAGGTCGCAGCTGCGGAGAATCACGCTCGTGACGCGCAGACGTCAGCCGATGCCGGGTCACGAAGTGCCGCGTGATTGCACCGAGGGATTCCAAAAAGGTTCTGCGAAGCTGCCTGCTTGTCTCTGCTCGACGCCGCGAGGTTGAAGCAGCTGAGACGCACGCCTCTGCTGCCCGGAATGCCTTGCTGGCTGTGCAAACCAATGCACTGAGCCCAGTTCCGATACGACGAGGCATCGCGAAAATCAAATCTCTTTGTGGCAGGCCGAGCTTGTTCGAGAGAAGGCGGCATCAGTGGAGCAGCATTCCGTCTCAGTGCGCGGCTCGGGGTATGTTCTGCCCCACACCCAATCGCGTCCCTGGACCTTCTCCGTGCAGTGCAGCAATGCAACCCTCGATGCTTGGAGAAGGCCTGCATGGCCTCCCATCATAATGAACACAAGGTTGCACGTAGTATAGAGAAATGCTCAGGATCTGCATCAAAAGCATAGCTTGGTTTGCAAAACGTCGCCCATGACATGCCACCTCTTCGGGGCGAGGCAGAAGCTGGACACATGGGAGGAATACAGGAATACAGGCACAGCATCCAGCTCATCTTTCTGTGCGGTAGATCGAAAAACAGAGAGGTCTCGAATGAGACCGAATGAACTGCAGGTTGCAAGAGATGCCTCATCCATGCTACCCATGGGCCCAGACACAGAGTCGCGCTGCATGCCTTGCCAGCTGCAGCGCAGAAGGTCTTTGCTATTTAATTTCTCCTGCAAGGACGTTCCTCATGAGGTCGATGCAATGTGCTGTTGGAAAGAGGGTCGGGACGAGTACAGGGATCTAGAAGCTTTGAAGGAGAGCTTGAGAGCCGAGGCGGCCTTGAGATTCTGCCCGGCATAGGGTTCAGAACTCGCATCAAGATCAGTCTCTGAAGCTGAGGTGCAAGGCATGGCGGAGGCCATGGCAGAACAGGCGTGTCACACGCCTGCTTAGGGGTACTTTGCTTCTTGACTCAGGGAGACGTTGTGCTCGTCTTGTCCAGGCTTCTGCGCTGCAAGCGACGTCATCTGCTGTCGGTGGTCCTAGCTCGCAGTGGGAGCTGGGCCCTGGAAGATCTGCCGAGTGGCATGATCGCTGCGTTTTCAATAAAATTTCCTTGCTCTGCCTGTTGCTTCGGTTCCTCGGCTTTCGCGGCGTTCGCGATCATTCCCGGCTCCGGCTGAAGAGCGAACTTCCGGGTGACGCTGCAAGGTCGGGGCCGCGAGCGAGCGAACGACGGCCGCCTTATCATCGGAGGCTCAAGTCTTTCTGATTTGCGGAATACGGAACCACGGAGAGCTGTGGAAGGCCGAGCGTCATCTGGCCATGATGTCCACCAGCTTCGCCAGCGCCGAGGAGCGGGCAGTACTCGACGGGTGTATCTTCTTAGACAATGCCGCTGTGCCATGAGGAGAAGCTGCAGCTTCAACTCCAGCAGGCCGTCGCAAAGCTCGACGAGGTCTGCAGCGGACGTCAAATAAAGATAGGCACACCGGCCTCATGCAGTACGCTGACGTTCCCCCTGCCGCAGCTTCTTTGCTCAAATCCGAAAGTGCTTCCACATGCGAGGTGCGCTGCCTCGCTGCTGCTGTAACGCTAGCTGTTCTTTAAGTGGCGATGCCCTCATGGGCCATATGGCGCTGGCCGTGCTTTGGATTAGCAGCTGCAGCGGCGAGTGAAGGCGCCGAGTCCTTCGAGGACTTCGTCCAGCGATTTCACCGCAGCAGCTCGGCTTAAGACGACAAATACTTTGCTACTCAGTTTTGTTTTTTCCTGGCGTTTTGCCTCTTCGCCTTCGTGAGGCTACGAAGCTGGGTCTCGAGAATTCGAGGAGAGACATCGAATCTTCCAGGCACGGGCGGAGGAGGCTCGCACGCTCGTGCTCTCGTCTCGGCTGAACTGTCCGCACATCGTGGGAAGGTGCAGGCGCTGAATCGCCGCCCCTCTCGTCGCTGGACCGCGGGCCTCGGGCCCCTGGCAGCGACTCGTCACTTCGAAAAGGGAGCTCCCAAGCTGGGAGGGCAGTCTCAGTCCCCCGAGGACTATCGAGACGAGGAGCTGCAGGCGCTGCGCGGCTGGCGTGGCACTGCCGGCTCCCAAGCAGACGACCCCAGTGCGCTGGTGCAGGCCGCGGCCGGACCTGAGCCACTGGCCGCAGCGATTTGCCGGGCCTTTCGCAGGTGCGCTCACTGCCGGAGCAGTTCAACTGGACCTCGCTGGCTGCTCTGCGCGAGGTGGCGAGCCAAGAGCCCCGGCTGCAAAGCCGCAAATCTGTCGAGAGTGGACATCAGAATCAGGGTGTGAGCCAGAGCAAACTGGCAGGGCGGCTGTGGGTCCTGTTGGGCCGTGACGAGTGCCGTGGTTTTGACGGCTCATGCAGAGATCAGCGGCCGGCCGCGGAGCTTCTCAGCTCAGGAAACCGAGCCACAGCCACCCTTTACGCCTACGCGTTATGCCGCGTTTTGCCATGTGTTGCGGCGTTGAGACGAATGCTGGCAGGAGCTTGTGGATTGTGTGCCGAATCCGAAGCACTGCGGTGGCAAGGGCGGCTGTACAGGGGCCACAGTAGAATTGGCGATGAGTTACGCACTTCGGCCGCACACCGAGATCTCTTTTTGACTGCATCGTGTTTGGGGCTTGTCCGTGTTCGGCCACGAGGCCATGCATGTGGGCCTTCGCAAAGAGAGCGAAGTGCCTTACAAAGCCAAAAGCAGCGAGTGCGGCTTGCAAAGCTTGCAACCTGCTCCGAGTGCCCTCCAGATGCTTGCACGCAGGATCACGTAAGTTCGTAGCCGCATGTCCTTTCAGTATCATTGCAGCGTGGTCACATGGTGCACAGCAGTCCGTTGATTAAGGACGGCCGCAGCTTTCAACCAGGACATGGAACAGACTTGTTGCGCGTGAGAAGCACCGTCACGGAAAGATTCGATGCATGTACCTGCCTGCAGGATAGTGGGCACGAGGCAGTGGACGTGAAGGATCAGTACCGTGCACAGGTTGAAGAGGACTTAGCTGCCCTCGCGTACCTGCATGAGCCGCTCAGATGTGAATGGTGGTGTTCCACCGCGTCTCGGGTTACGCGGCTTCTGCAGGGTCCGTTCTCTGAGGCACTCGGACCTGCAGGCGCCGCGCGTGCACAGCGCCGCGGCGGACTCCGCCGGGCTTGGCTTCGGCCTGCAGGGATGGGAGAAGCTGCCACCCAATCGCCAGGAGCACAGAGAGGCGTGCGCTTTTTCCACCATCCCTCGCCCATGCCTTCTTCGGCGGTCGCATCTGTAAGGTCAAGAGCCTCTCCTGCGAGCCCTCTACGAGCGGGGGCCCGTCGGCGTTTCGGTAGCTGCGACGAATTGGCAGCCTGGCCGTCTACCTTTGGCAATGCCCGCTGGAGCGACACGGAGGTTGTAGGGCAGGGGATCCATGGCCGAATTGCTTTGAAGTTCTGAAGCCCAAGACAGCTCCCGAGGCATCTCTACGCTTCCGGAGTTTTCGATCATTGCGCGAAGGACATTAATCCTGTAGTCATAAGTCGCTGGCTTCCTTTGAGGCTTGAGGCGACGGTTTCGTTGACTGGACAGCTTTTGTCCCTGATCCCTCTGGAGGACTCAGTCATTGATCATGCCGTGACGCTGATTGGTTACGGTAGGGATTCCAAGTCTGGAGATCTTTTCTATTTGATACAGAACTCGTGGGGCAACAACTGGGGAGAGGCCAGGAATGCACGGTTCGCGGCGTCGTGATGCGTCGTGGCATCTGTACCTCAGCTTTAGCCTGATGCAGGGCGGCCGCATTCGCATTCTGCGCAGTGATGCAGACGATTCGCAGCAATGCGGTTGGGACCGGCAACCTGAAAAGGGACGCTCGGCAGCACAAAACCGCATCGAACAAGCAGTCGGCAGTCTCGTTCATTGCACGTTTACCTGAAGACCACACGTCCTCCATTCCAGGCACTGCTTGCACTGGCGACCCTGCACAAGTTCGGGTATGTGGTAGCTCGGCTAAGCTTGGCTCTTTGTCTTGAACCACGTTGCAAGCGAAACTGTCGGTTGCCGCCTCTGCGCTGAAGGCATGTGTGGCATCTTGTATGACAGTGTTGTTCCCCACTTCGGGACTCTGCAGTGACCCTTTGCCTCAGCAAGACCGTTGTTTCATGTTGCCAGAGCCTGATAGAAGCGTGGCTTTGACTGCCAGTGCTGATGCAGATGTGCGACATCTGACTGTACATACACGGCTCCGAGACTCTGCCTCCTGGACAAGCTGTGAGCTAGTATCTGAATCTCGTTCTTGTCAGGACGTGTGCATTCGGAAAATGGCAGCTGTTGTTTGCTGTGCGACGGATTCAGTCCGCTCTGCAGCCTGTTGTGTCTTGTAGTCGCAGGCCTCTGAAAGATACAAGACCCAGTCCGCAGCGGCGGATGGGGCCGAGTCTTCCAAGCTGTTCGGTCCTGAGTGGTCGAGGATGTTAGGCAGGCCACGATTGCCTTTTTTGCGCTGCGCCCAGGAAGGAAGAGCTTGAAGTTCAGCTGCAGGACATGTTCTGCAGGGACGGTGGGGGCCAGTGGGAATGCTGGAATCCGCAGACTTCAAACCTTCAGGCAGCAGGATTCAGGCTCTTGATTCAGGGCCAAGGCTTCATCCATGGCCCTTCGCTGCGTACTGAGGGCATGTGGCATCCTTGGCTACGACCTGAATGGAGAGACTAGCCGGCTGGTTCTTGCCATAGCCGCCGAGGCTGCCTTGCAGGAAGAATCCGAAAACTCTGAGGGCTTGGAGCCAGCTGCACCGTCTGCTTTCGATTGGTTGCCCTCTCTATGGAGAGTTTGGGGTCACACGAAGGGCGGGCTGTGCACCCAAGCGTTTCTTGCAGTATTGATGGCGGCTGGCCGCTGGCAATCCCTGTCCTTGCAAGATCTACGGCTCCGAATGCAGGCAGCTCTCCAGCGATCCGGTCTTGAAGCCGCCGTGACCTTTCGATGCTCCCGGGAGCTGGAGGGCAGCCTTGACCAGGCCTTGTCATCTGCTCAGACGGCCCGTGCTCTGCTGATCGGGCTTTGCTACAAGGAAGACGAGGAGCTGAGGCTCGAGGGCTCCTGGAATGATGTTCAGGACATGCGATCCTGGTTGCTTCGACAAGGCATTGTCAGGGAACAAGACATACGTGTTCTGAGCGACAGTTCGGGCGACATGACAATGATGCCTTCGCGAAACAACATTTTGACTCAGCTGGAGTGGCTCCTCTGTGGCGAGAATAAATGCTTCGGCGCACCTCATGGCTGTTGCTCGGGTGAGCTACCGGAGGAGCACCTAGAAGCCGTGCAGCTCTTGTTGTTGTTTGCTGGTCACGGCGACCATGCTGAGCTCTTACCGTCTGACTGGCGCAGAGCTGGTCCGATTCGGGAGCGCGAGGTCTCGGTGCTCGTGGATGATCTACTACCCGAAGGGGCAAGGCTGGTATGCATCTTTGACTGCTGTGACTCCTCCCAGATGCTGAGCTCACTACTGAGGTATCGTGCTTAAAGGCTTAAAGCCAGTGACAAAGCCTCCTGGCAAAGCTTCTGCTACTTGGACCACCGGCCGCACTCTTTCCGTTTGGACACGCGACGTCGAGGCAACGAGGGCCAGGGAGGAAGAGGTCTCCCGTAAAAGGGCAGACCGGAAACTGTCTGCTGGTCCTTGAAGACTGTTTCGTGGCCGGCTTGGTGGTGAAGCCCATGATGCGACCCCTGTCATGCGGACCGGCATGTCAGCAGAGTCTTGCGCATCCCAGGGACAAAGCATTGTCTGAAACTCAACTCGGGACAAAGCCATGGATGAAATTCTTTGGCGACTTGCCTCGTGTCACTCCGCTGCGAAGAAGAGCGTCACGCTTGCCGCGCGAAAAGTTTCGAATTCCAGCTTCGAATTCTCAACGGCGTATGCTTCCTCGTGAAGGGGATTCTTGAAGGCGCTTCCCAGGCAGACGCATGCTTCGCGGTCTGATGTTATAGTGGAACTTGAAACCTTGTGCCGAGACCCAAGTCCTATCCTCGGAAGCAGGATGCCTCGAGGGGCACGCGCCGACTCGAACTTTAAGGGCTTTTCAGGGCTTCAGAAAGAAAGCCTGGCTCTGAAGCAAGACCTTCTGGAAAGCGCTGTGACTTTGCAGGACCGGCTGGGGCAGACCCGGTCTGACCTCGCCGAATGTGCCCAGCTCACCCAGGTCGTCTCAGAACGCCTCGAGGCCGAAGCCGACAAGCGAAGCGAGCGTCGCGTCTGCCGACGTCTGCAGGCTGTGGAGGCCCAGCTCCGTGCCGAGCTGGCCAAGCTGATGGTTCTGGGGCAGCAAACGGCCGTGCGGATGGAGGCGACTCCATCACAGACCGCGGGTTCAGTCTTGTTCTCACAAAGATGCAGGAGGTCTGCACGGCAGTGCAGGAGGCCCGGGAGTGCCAGAACGAAGGGAACGGCGGGGACCGCGCACGGGGGGAGTGCAGGCGACGGCCGGCTCCGGAGTTTTAAGCAGCGACTCCACCAAGGCCGGTGTCTGAGCTGCTCCGGTCTTCGCGTGTCAACTTACTTCTGCAGGTGCACCTGGAGGCAGACGGGCTGCTGTCGTCACGCCTGAGCTAGTCGTGTATGTGTGTGTGTGTGTACTTGTGTTCAGGGAATGATAGCCCTGTTGCTGCTAGACTGACTAGACTAGACTTCACAACACTGCATGTCTTTTGCAGGACTGTGAGGAATCGGTCAACATGTCTTCTTGTTTGAGAAGATGCTTCACGCTCTGTCTTGGTGGTCGCCTCTTGCAAAGTTTGTCCCGTCTGGTGACCTTGCGCCCTCTGTTGCGGCTGCACGACTCCATCCGGGCTGAAGCCTCATGCAGGAGATGATCAACACCGCGCTCGAACGGACTGCCCTTCAGAATGTTGAGCAAAGTCTCTCTCTCTCTCTCTATCTTTTTCTGGGTCTGTTTGTGTGTGTGTGTGTAAACGCATGCACACACAGAGTCATGTAGTCCTTCCATGGCTTGAAAAGAGAGCTGAGGAATGTAGCATACAGTAGCACTCCCTAACCTGAACCCCAAACCCCTATCCCCTTAACCCCCCAAACCCTAAACTCAGTGAGGACCGAGCACCTGGAGCAAAGCTTCATTGCGGCCTCGAGCGGGCCGGGAGCTGGGTCCTGTTCTCAGACCGCACACTGTGCCCAAACTTCCAATACTATGTATCCAAGTATTTAAATATATTTAAATATGAATAGATTAAATCAACACACCAATATATATATATATATATATATATATAACATATATATATATATATATATACATATATAGATATTTACTGCATTAAACATATCTATCATTGTGTATGTACCTTTCTGGAGGTATACATATATATATATATATGTATTTATGTCTATATATATATATA